TTACAGAAGCATGTTCAGAGACTAAAAGTGATGTGTCATTTGTTATTAATGAATTCAAATTATAAAACTAGTTGCCTCTGCGAGCCAGCTAACACATGTTTGCACATATTATTTTTTTTTCCTAACATTGATCTCTTAAATTGATGACACACTCCAATAACAGATAAGTTTGTGATTTTCAAACCAACCAGAATAATCTGCTGCATCTATAGATACTATCTCTTTCCTTCACCTTCCAGCTCCAGACGGGACAGGATGGAAAGACTTATTACAGGCTGTTGAATTTAAGATTTAAAGTGCTCTGTGTGAGCAGATTCATGTAACCACAGTCATTTTGAGACATAAACACAATTACCACAAACAAATGAGAGTCTTGGCAAGAAGCCTGGCAGCTTGTTTAGGCTCTGCGTTTGACACTGTGGTGCCATTGGGTCTTTTTTGGGAGGCAAACGTGTCAGAATAGTGTTTGACCAGACTGACTCACTGTTTTCCAGGGAAAGCAATTATTATCTGCTGTGGGAGGGGTGAGGGTGGGGCTGGGGTGAGTGTGAGGGGATTTCACTGTTATCTTTGGTCTACTTTTTAATCTGGCACGCACAGGTCGGCTGGTGTTTGAGAGTCACACATTAACTCAGCAATAATGACACATAACAGAAATACTGATAATGAACTTGAGGTACTTAACAAAAACCTATTCCATCTCCTTACAGCCTAGTGGACCAGCCTGAACACTCTAAATACACTAAATATAAGTAATATATTTTATATATTTTTTTTTTAACGACAAATGGTTAAATTTTACCACATCTTTATACAAACTTTAATGATTATGAAGTTTTTTTAAATCTATAAACTTGATTTACTGAACTCTTTTTTATTATTTTGACTATAAGCTTTGTCACCCTGCCACTTTTTAAAATAAAATAAAATAGAATAAAATGAAATAAAATAAAATAAAAATATAATAAAATAGAATAAAATGAAATAAAATAAAATAAAAATATAATAAAATAAAATAAAATAGAATAAAATGAAATAAAATAAAATAAAAATATAATAAAATAAAATAAAATTCACACTTTTACCAAATCATATTTGCAGTTTTCCATCTCATTCTCATGAATGTGATTTTGGAGGCACATGTTTTTACCTTTTAGGTCAGTGTTTGTGTGTTAAGTGTGTGTGATCATGGTAAATGTTGTCTTGTAGACACATAGTGGACACACATATGTCTGTCCAGCCCGTTCTTGTTCCAAAGTTGTCAAATACTGTCACTTTGTCAGTGATTTCGGCGTCACACACCAATGCCAAAGGCCACCTTTCGTGGTGGTATGACACACTGCTGGAGGGCGTCAGTTTGAAAAGCTGCTGATAATACTGTAATATAAGAAGCTGGACAGTGCCTAGAGGGTGGGCAGGAGGGGTGGTGGATGTGTCCAACAAACCCTGGACTTTCACTTGGGAGCCCGCTGTCCGCTTCCCGTGTGAATGTGGAGCCAAACCATGATGTTTTTTTCTAAACCTAACCACGTGTTTTTGTTGACGTCCCAATGTTGGTTGTGGCGTTCTGGAACATCAAGAGCAGACACAGGATGATACCTAATGTGTAATATGCAGATGTGACACTGACACAGCAGCAATATGTGAGAACTTGGCAGGAGAATATCTGTCTGTCTGTGGACAGATTTTGTCACCGTGATTCAGTGCACTTTTTAATTTCTATATCCCAATACCACAAATCATAATGTGCTGCAGAGGGTTTTACAACACATGACATCCCTCTGTCCTCAAACCCTCACAGTGGATAAGGAAAAACTCCTTTGACAGGGCAAAATGGTAGCCAGCATCACAACTGTAAAACCGGCAGTCATGAAACTTTACAGGTGTGTTCAGATCAAAATGAAGGTCAAGTTTAAAGATGGGTGTGGTCTGAGCAGGGGCACCAACAGTAGGGAGGTAGGAAGTAGGGAAGGGGCCATTTCCCCATCTCTATCCACTTTACACCCTTGGCCCACATTTGTTTTATTCATTTCACTGTTTCAATCAACATTCCCATCTGCTGATCCAGCCCTATCTACCTGTTTCGTCAAACTCCCTTCTCTAATATCATGTGGTCCATTGCACCATACACACCGACTTGGCGTCATGGCTGCTGTGATCCCATTGCAAGATAGTCTCTAGTGGGAGCTTGTTCTTCTCTGGATTAAGTGTGTGTCTCTGTTGATGTGTTTACCTTTACCTTAACCTGACCCTGATCCCTAACCACAGCCAGCCATCTTCTGTGATCCTTCACCTAACTTAGCCCAGATGGGGGGTGCTATGGAAACACTTTTCTCAGAGGAAAGAAAGATTCAGTTTTGGCATGTTGGATTATGTTATAGACTCTGGTGTGGTTTTTGACCAACACATGAACCATGTAAAGATGTTTACTCACCTCTTTTTTTCCAGCTGGAATATTGAATTAAAGCCCCTTGTCTCTTATCAAGATCTTGTGATTATGCGGTACACACACATCTCGAGCCGGACCAATTCTCTGCTCACATGCCTAAACAGGTTAGCCTCGGCAAACTCTCGTGTTTGAAATACCTCAGCCAAATATGTCAGTCAGATCCAGCTGTGGGGCTCACATCGCTCACATATTGGCTCCTTTCCACTGGTGAAATCAGGATTCTTTTTTAATTTTTTTTTATTGGCACTCATTATGAACAAAGTGCTTCCTGAACAAGCCCCAATGGTGCATCTTCATTTCATTAGCAACACATTAGCATCCTCACCAAACCGTTTCAGACGGCTCTAAAATGTTCTGTACTGTGAGTCTGAGAGTGAATTTTACTTAAAGACTAACGTGATTATGGATGCTGGTTTATATGTGAATGCATTCGAGGGTAACTTGTATTTCCACGCACAGTGTTTCTTTGTTGAAAACAGTGCAAATTTCTCCTACGTGCTAATTTCTTTACCAGAGTAAGACAAGACAATTGATAACAGTCTCGTGACTTTATGTAGTTCAGCAGAAGGGCCAGGACATAGTTAGCGTAACTTAACATAAAGATAGGAAGCAGTGGGAAGCAGCTAGATTAGCTTTGTAAGAAGTGAAGAAGTTTGCCTACCGACACCTCTGAAGCTCACCAGCTACCACATTGTATCCTGTTTGTTTAACCTGCACACAATAGAAAATGTGAAAACCAAAATTTGTGGTTTTATTGAGAGCTATTTTTTAATGAGCAACAGCTTATCCATCCTCTCAGCACTTTTATGCCAACCTGGTCTCACCCCAAAGTCGTCAAATACCGACGCTTGGGTGGTGACTTCCGATGTCAGACACCAATGGAAAAAGCTGTCCTTTCACGTCAGCATGAGACACGGCCAGTCGCCGTTATTGTGTAACTGAGCCCGGCAGCATCAGCGGGAAACATGGCTGGACAAGTAGTAGTCCAAGTAGGGTGGGCCGGAGGTGTGATGGATGGGTCCAACAACCACCGACTTTCACCTGGGAGAGTGGCCTGTTCTTTTTTCTAAACCTAACCATGTGCTTTTGTTGTGTAAACCCAACCACATGCGTGTGGTGGCTAAACGTAACCATGTACGTTTGTTGTTGAAGGAAAACAATGTCAATTTTGGGTGTTGTATGCAAACTGTAATGTTTTGTACAGTTTTTTTGGACAGTCTAATGAAAAAAAAGTCTAATTTTTGTAAATTTTTTTATAACACAATTCCAGTGCTTTTATCAATTATTATGGTTTGTTGATTTACAAAACCTTTTAGCTTAGGTTGTACAGATTTTAGGAATATGTGTCATTTGAAGATACCCCAAGAAATGACATCGCAATAAGCAAAAATATCATTGTAAGCTCTGACAGACTGTTTCAGTTGCAGATTTTAAAGGGTTAAGCCAGGCTAACCATGTCCTCAATGCTCAACACACAGACATAAGACTAATTGTCATCTTGTGACTTCACTTTTTCAAAGAAACCAAATAAGCATATTTTCTAAAATGTTGATATTCCTTTAATATATGAAACAAGATCATAATGGCAGTATGGCAGGTCTTTCTGGACCTAAAAAAGCTTGACACTATACATCATGATATCCTCATTCATAAACTCTCCAAATATAATATCTTCACCAAAACGTTACAGTGATTTCAGTCTTATCTGTCTGACCGAGAACAGTGTGTCATCATTAATAATGAGAAATCTTCTTTTCTACAGACTACAACAGGAGTACCTCAGGGTTCTGTTCTTGGTCCGCTTCTTTTTAGCTCATACATTAATGACCTTCCATTGTCATGTTGGAGCAGGTTTTCAGATGTATGCGGACGATACAGTCATACATGTATCTGCGAAAACTGCTCTGGCAGCTTCCAAAGAGCTGTCCTGTTACTCATATCTCACACTTAATGTTAAAAAAACTGTGTCAGGTTGCTTTTCTGCAAACTGTGGTAACTGCAAACTGCAAACTGTGATAAATACTGTGGTGTGTGGCATTTATGTATGCTACATACTTTTCCCTATTCAAACAAATATTAAACAAATATAATGTTAATTAAACAATACGATACTGAATGATATAAATACTTTTAAATGTGCCTACTTTGATTCTGAAATCAAGAGTTTTTAAGGCGCTGTAGAAATGCAGTCCTTTTTTTAATTACTTTTGATGAATGTCACAAAGTCTAATTTCTCTGAGACAAACTAAACTTCTGTGTAACTTGGTTTGAAAAGGACGGCTGGGAAGGAAGTTTGTCATACACACAAACACATTTGCATCAAGGATATTTCACTTGATTTTCATTATTTGTCTGTGATGCTTTTGAATATATCCACATCATTCTCCTTTATGTTTAGTCATCTTAATTTCTGTTTCATTGTGGCATTAGCTCGGCCTGTTTTTTTCTCTTTTTAAAATGTTTTATCTGCTGTAGTTATGATTCAACTTAAATAGTATCAACACTGAAACTAGATGCACAAGGGAGATCTGCGGTTAGAGCGCTGTGACATCCCAGGGGGATTGTTAGCTAGCTGCAGGCTGTTATAAAGCTCGTCAGACCACCCGCCACTTTGATTTTCTTCACTTTAACTATATGATATTATCCACATAAGCAGTATGCACTGGGAGAAATGTAAGTACAACACATCATTGTTGTTTTATTTACAGGATGCACAGTGACTGTAAAATCCTCATGCAGCTTATGCTATATTATTTTGTATAAAATTAATCTATTGACTTGATAAATAATTTTAAATGTGCTTTGATTTTATTAAAAAAGCGGCAGAAAGTTTTTAAAATTTTAAACGAATTGTTGAAATACAAGTGTCGTCTTTGTGCATATTACATTTCATCACTTAGATGAGGTAAACACAATAATATACATTTTGTACTCATGCCATGCAGTCCAGTATGATAGTCATGCAATGCATTTGACTTTTGTAGAGCATAATTATTCTTTTTTTCTTCTGTGTCATTTAAAATGATAATCTGGGTGGATATTGTGGATCCAAGGCTGCTATTGAGAGAAAAAATTAGATTTAGCTTAACTTGTTTGATTTTTCGCTGCTGTATTTTGAGACAATTGTAATGAATTTTCATTTTATTTGAGCGTTTGCTAATCAAAGATGTAGAACTTAAACTAACGGACAGATGTGTCCAGCGCTCTGTTGTTTCTCCCCCCATATCGAACGTGTCATTTAGAAAATTGACTTGGAAGTTTGAGTCTGGGCCTTGTTTGTTTGTTTTTTTGGAAAACTTCCAACAGAAGGAAAGAAAAATATATGACATTTTTTCCTGTTGCTTCCTGTTGGTGTCTAACTCTTTTGGAAAGAGGAAGGTGGTCATTTGGATGTTGGCTGTGCGTTGCTATTGGTCTAATCTTGATATGCAAATGGCTGCAGGCCTCCGCCACAGTAAAACACTGCACAGCTGTGGAGCTTCCTCTTTTCTTGTTGTTTGAGTCCCTGTGCATGTGCCGTGGTGATTGTTTGTCTGTCTTTGTGTGTTCATGTGTGATTGTTTAAACCAGAGAGCGAGGAAAGACAACATCATCTTCTGTCCGTTTGAGTTTCAGGTCAAGGTTTTGTACTGTAGCATTTATTGGAAGTTAGCACCTATTGCAAACCCTGTTACTGCAGCTTCCTGCATGTCACGTACAGTTTTTCCACAATAAAAGTTCTTTAAATATAAAAAGGAGATAGAAAGTCCTGGATTATGATATTTTTGTGTCTAAACATTTGGACTTAGACTTAGAAAAAGCTCATTAACTGGACAGAGTTTGAGTAGATTATTAAAAATGGATGGGGTCAGACCCTAAACAGTGATTCTGCAATCATGGCTTAGCAACTGTGTCTAGCCCTCCGCCTTTCCATGACCAAAATCACCAACAAATTAACACATTCTCACTTTGACCTCGTCACATATCGATGTTTGGTCATGGACTTTCTCGTCAAGATATGACGTGCAAGGTACCCAGGGTGTGTTGGTTGGGCAACCTCTGCCTGTTCCATGCATTGTCTGTTTTTAAAATACACTTCTGTTTTCACAGGAAATGTGCAATTTGCATACAGTCTCTTTCAAAATAAACGTGCTACGTCAGTGCAACGCCCCAAATTGAATTTTTTTTCCTTCGACAACAAAAGCAGATGGTTGGGTTTAGGACAAAAGAACAGGGTTTGGCTTTATAATCTTACAGGAAGTGAACACCGGTCTCCTAGGTGAAAGTTGGTAGTTATTGGACCCATCCAGCACCCCTCCCATCCACCCTATTCTACTACTGGCCGAGTATCGTGTCCACCTGAAAAGACAACCTCTTTTGTCGGTGTCTGACTCAATGACTTCAGAGTGAGACCAGGTTGAACAAAAGTATACACGGAATGGATTAAACATTATGTTTATCTGGTATAACTTAAGCTGCAAACATTAGCATGTTAGCAAGCTAGCTTACTCACAGTAGTCAGAGCTTTTCAATAGCTACTGACAGTTGTAATGTTTTATCTCACACAGGCCGAGCCCTCTACTCTACTGTTTGGGTTATACTCCCATAATCAAACAAACACGCATTTGCAAACTGAGAAAAGCATAAAGATAGCCAGCAAATCAGGATACACCTACTTGAATATGTGCAAAACACTCAGTGTATAAGGAGGTGAATCCCACTGTCAAGCATCCTACACCCTCCTCAGCGAGCGGTGTAGGAGTGACAGGGCCCCTTCAGCACATTCTCACTCCGACTTCGTCACATATCAATGTTTAGTCATGGACTTTCCATTTCCGAGATATGACGTGCAGGGTGCCATGTCAGCTTCAGCCTGTTACATGCATTGTCTGTTTTACAAAGTACTAAAAAAAGTTTGAGTAATAAATCTGAGAATGTTTTTGCAGATTGCACATGTACAGAAACCTTGACAGGCGCAGAAACAGTAGCAGTTGGGACTCAGCTAACTGTCAGTTGTGTTTCCAGTCCCTGTTTCTGTGGAGCATCATGAACTCGTCTGTACATTATCACACTGTTCTGTTTGTCTAAAGAGGCCACTTAGCCTCTTTGGCCTGTACAGACAAATTAATCAACTGCAGATAAGAATCTTAACAAGATACTGTCAGACCGCCTTCAGCCTAATAAAGAGGTCAAGTAGGGGGCTGAGAGAGCAGCAGTCTGGACCACAGGTTACCCTCCTCTGTCGCTGGGAACAGGAGTCGCAGTAACAGGCTGGTAACTAGAGGGAAACTTTAAACAGGAAAAGTCACAGGGGGAGTGTCATCGAGGCTCTGTGTGTCTGCAGCATGGGTGGTGAGCAATACAACAACGTGGAAGTACAGCCTGTAGTTCGAACAACAGCCTCGAGAGCCAACGAAATTCCACTGGATGATGTGTTTTGCATCAGTTGATGTCATCTGGTGGAGTTTCACCTGAGGGGAGGAGGGATAGTTTGATGGTAATTTGACATGTTATCAGGCAAGCGGCGGACTTTTTCCAACTGATAGTCAAGCAGAACTATTGTTGGATCATGTCCAGACACCACCACCAATACTTTCCACTAATATGTTGAAGTTTAGACAAACTGTTTGTGCTGGCTTCAAAATAAACCAGCACGGCCAACTGAGCATTGATTATTTAATTTGGGTTTTCTCACGCAGGTAGTTTTCCTCTTTCCTCTGCAGCTCCACTCTTCAGTTACCAAAACCAAGCCCAGCTTAATAAGCTCTTGTCAGCAGCAGTAAACTGAGTGTGCTGACTCGCTGTGGGGGGAGTCAACACATAAAATGCACAACTAAAAATTGAAGGGTGGTGAACCAGAGTGTCATAAAACCAACAATATGACCTGTATGAACAAGCCATTTTATTTGTACATCAGGCTCACCACTGGTACAACTGTACCCCCACAGTCCCTCCTTAACAGTCAGAAACACGCTCTAATGATAATTATTAAATCACTTTTGACGTAATGGCTGCAGGGTGTTCCTAAATTCCACCAGTGGAAACACCAAACACCAAGACACATTTAAACTAGACGTGGGACACTTCTCTTCATGGCAGTCTGACTTTTGACTTTAAACCAATGTGAGCTAAAGCTAATTATTCCTCAGAATCAGTTTCAGGGTGTCATTACCTGCAGACAGCTTGTTAGCAGAGCACTGACTCTGAACTGTTCAAACAGCTGAACTTTTGATCCCTTATTACAATCTGTCACATCAAGATTAATGTGTGTATGTACAGTGTGTGTGTGGCATTAAGACAAGAGCGCATTTTTTATTTCAACATATGAGGAGACATCTGCCAGCAGCTGCTCATGTCTCTGCAATTATAGTCAGAACCCATAACAGTCTATGTGTACAGTAACTGTCATATAACAACCAGACTCTTTCATTCTTCCTTGAAATGACTCAGACGACACGTTTATGTTGAAATAAAGACACTGCTGGGCTCGCTGCAGGATGCTGTGGTAGCCATGCTGGTTCAGTGTGCCTTCAATTTTGAATAAATCCCCAACAGTGTCACCAGCAAAACACCCCCACACCATCACACCTCCTCCTCCATGCTTCACAGTGGGAACCAGGCATGTGGAATCCATCCGTTCACCTTTTTCTGCGTCTCACAAAGACACGGCTGTTGGAACCAAAGATCTCAAATTTGGACTCATCAGACCAAAGCACAGATTTCCACTGGTCTAATGTCCATTCCTTGTGTTTCTTGGCCCAAACAAATCTCTTCTGCTTGTTGCCTCTCCTTAGCAGTGGTTTCCTAGCAGCTATTTGACCATGAAGGCCTGATTTTCGCAGTCTCCTCTTAACAGTTGTTCTAGAGATGGGTCTGCTGCTAGAACTCTGTGTGGCATTCATCTGGTCTCTGATCTGAGCTGCTGTTAACTTGCCATTTCTGAGGCTGGTGACTCGGATGAACTTATCCTCAGAAGCAGAGGTGACTCTTGGTCTTCCTTTCCTGGGTCGGTCCTCATGTGTGCCAGTTTCGTTGTAGCGCTTGATGGTTTTTGTGACTCCACTTGGGGACACATTTAAAGTTTTTGCAATTTTCCAGACTGACTGACCTTCATTTCTTAAAGTAATGATGGCCACTCGTTTTTCTTTAGTTAGCTGATTGGTTCTTGCCATAATATGAATTTTAACAGTTGTCCAATAGGGCTGTTGGCTGTGTATTAACCTGACTTCTGCACAACACAACTGATGGTCCCAACCCCATTGATAAAGCAAGAAATTCCACTAATTAACCCTGATAAGGCACACCTGTGAAGTGGAAACCATTTCAGGTGACTACCTCTTGAAGCTCATGGAGAGAATGCCAAGAGTGTGCAAAGCAGTAATCAGAGCAAAGGGTGGCTATTTTGAAGAAACTAGAATATAAAACATGTTTTCAGTTATTTCACCTTTTTTGTGTTCATTCATAGTTTTGATGCCTTCAGTGAGAATCTACAATGTAAATAGTCATGAAAATAAAGAAAACGCATTGAATGAGAAGGTGTGTCCAAACTTTTGGCCTGTACTGTATGTATTAATTAATGTATTTATTTATTCATGTGATTTGGTGAAGGCATACAAAAACTTTTCAGATTGCGACCGAGGTTTGAGTCTTCTTGGCGATTGGTGAAGACAGTGGGTCAGATCAGGATGTGGTCACCAAGACGTCCTCTCGACGACATAAAATGGATGGTTATGTGGTCAGTTAGGGTCATTAAAAAGCCGTCGAGGTGACGTCTTGGTGAGTACGTCCTAGAAACGACGTCTAAAACATCGCCTATTTGGCCGTGATTTAGACTAGTCCGGAACGTCACCGAATGACATCAACACGATGTTAAATGGACGTCATTTGGCTTGCTGGGAAGATTTCTCCTCAGTCATTAGTTCAAGGTCCATCGAGTTTGATACGTTCAATGACATATTTACATTTGGCCATGTCATTGAGCTAGTTTGCTGTCTCTGTCAAGTCGTAGTCCATTAGTCACTCATTCTACAGCAGGAAACAACACTTCAAAATAAAAGCTCTGTGCCAGAAAGTACAGTGTGTTTTTAACAAACTTGAATTGTTAGCGAGTCACTTATGGTCCATTCAGAATGGACCCGTGACCCACTTTCAGAACACAACCCACCATTTGGGAACGACTGCCCAAGAGGATAAATTCAGTTTGGTGATCCTCTAACCTTTCATCTAGCATCATCTTCCAGTCTATTCTCGCTTTGTCAGTGATTTTGGCATTAGCCACTGACACCAAAAGCCACCTTTTGTGGTGTTACGATACGCTACCAGTGGGCTGGACGACATCTGTTGCAGCAGTATGATAACTGGACGGTCAGTGTCATGCCACAACACAGACTGACGGCACCTGTCACAGCGGTATGATATGCCACAGGACAGCACCACTTTGAAATACTGCTGGCAACAACGTAATATAAAGAGCTGGTCCGAAGGGCGGTGGATGGTGTTGATGTCCCAGTGTTGGTTGTGGCATCCCTGAACTGAGGATACCTAGCATGTCTTATGTAGATGTGAAAGTCCACTGACAAAGCAGCGATATGTGACGACTTGAACACCTCCTCACATCCTCTGTTCAAAACTTTAATTTTCCAGTACTTCATGGTTAATGACCTAATACCTGTAAAACTAAAGGCATCCCCTACCTTAGCTGTAGTTTGTGTTTAATGCCAGTAAGCATATATTAGCATGCTAATGGTCTGAACTCGAGGCGTGGGTTTGCCATTACAAGGTTTATTAGTCAAGACTTTGATCCTTTAAAATATATTTTCCCAGCCTTATTGACGAGTAAAATAAAAAAAAAAAAAACTAATGAGAGTTAATTAGTTACGCAACACTATTTATTGACTTAAATATCAGGAAAAAAACCTTTACATGATCAAATAAACCAATCAGCCCAAAATATTCCACCTACAATTCACTGACACAACTACTAATGAATAATACATTAACATTATTTGAGTTATTCTTACATAATAGCTCATTAATCTGAGGACATAATCGCACATGTAAATAATTTCTCTATATCAGTGTAAGTACAGGTGTTGTGGGAACCAGTCCTCCCAGTTAAATCCAGCATACCACGGGCTAAACCAGTGGCTCCCAACTGGTGGGTCGCTGTCCAAAAGTGTGCTGCATTCTGAAAGGATTTATTTTGAAGTGCAGTAAACTGCTGGGACAGAGCTTTTATTTTGAAGTGTTGTTTCCTGTTGTAGAGTGAGTGACTAACAGACAGCAAACTAGCTCGACGACATGGACAAAAGCAAGTATGACACTGAATATATTAAAGTGTGTGGACCTTGAACTAATAACTGAAGAGAAATCTGGACCCTGTGGCTGGACCAGTTGGGAACCAGTTGGGAACCAGTTGGGAACCAGTGGGCTAAACTGCAGTACACATTCAGTAATTGTTGTGCAACACTGCTGTGAAAAACACAAGATAATGTTCGACTGACAGGACAAGTTGGGGGGGGTGACGGTGAAAGTCAGAGTGATGGAGAGTCAAAGTGTAATTTCACTCATCTTTCAGCCTGTCTCACAAGAAAACACGGTTTTATGGCTGAGTCAGTGAGGCAGGGACAGGAAGACTGGACAGATAGATGCTCAGATAATATTCTGGTGGTTAGAAACAACAGACACTTTCCTTGAAAGATCAGTGATTAGATAGTGAACTTCACTCTTTGTGGCATTCACATGAGCTGTTGTGGTGCATGTTCAGAGATCACCCCCCATCTGCAGACAGCTCACACTGCTGCAGTGCACCACGGGGGAAAATGCCATTACTCTCAATGGCTTTGTAGCCCGAGGCCGTAGCGCCTGGTGGCATTGTTCACAGTTTCACATGTACAGTACTGCTGCTGTGAGTTTATTCAGAAGAGGCCCTCTCTGTCAGATCAGACTTCTCGTCATGCTTATACTTGCAGGGAGTCACTGGTTGTAAACATTTTGAATAGTGGGAGACACATATAGCCTGAAGTGTCTGTCAGCGTGGCTCCACAGGACACTGACACCTGATGTTTATCACTGGAATATTCAAATCAATACGGCTTTATAAATACACATCTTTATGATGCTCAGCCCATAAAATAAACTATTTCTTCTGGTGAGTGCACAAATTCTTTAATCAACAGTAACAACAACCAACTAAATATTACTAACATTATTGGTTTAGTTAGATATGAATGACTAATGTTAATATTATTATTATTATTATTATTATTATTATTATTATTATTATTATTATTGAGATTTATTTTATTACCAATATTAAATTTAAACCTGTATCTATAACACATTTAATATATACATAAAACATTATAACACATGCAGAGTTGTGATAAGCCCTCATAATAATAAGCAACTGCCTTTTCAATAGTAAACAAATGTCTCTTCCATAGTAAACAATTGCCTCTTCGATAATGAACAAATTCCTTTCATAATAAACAAACGCCTCTTTGATAATAAACAATTGCCTCTTCCATAGTAAACAACTGCCTCTTCTATAATGAACAGATTCCTCTTCCAAAATAAACAAATGTCTCTTCAATAGTAAACAAATTTGTCTTCAATAATAAACAAATGTCTCTTCCATAGTAAACAATTGCCTCTTTGATAATGAACAAATTCCTCTTTGATAATAAACAAATTCCTCTTTGGTAGTAAACAAATGCCTCTTCAATAGTAAACAAATTTGTCTTCGATAATAAACAACTGCCTTTTCAATAATAAACAAATTCCTCTTCCATAGTAAACAACTGCCTCCTCTATAATGAACAAATTCCTCTTTGATAATAAACAAATTCCTCTTTGGCAGTAAACAAATGCCTCTTCAATAGTAAACATATATCTCTTTGATAGTAAACAAATGTCTCTTCGAAAATAAACAAATTCCTCTTCGATAATAAACAACTGCCTTTTCAATAATAAACAAATGTCTCTTCCATAGTAAACAATTGCCTCTTCAATAATGAACAAATTCCTTTGATAATAAACAAATTCTTCTTTGATAATGAACAAATTCCTCTTCCAAAATAAACAAGTGTGTCTTCAATAGCAAACAAGTGTCTCTTTGATAATAAACAAATGTCTCTTCGATAATTAAAAAATGTCTCTTCAATTGTAAACAAATGTCTCTTCAATTGTAAACAAATGTCTCTTCAATTGTAAACAAATTTCTCTTCAATGATAAGTACCCTTTTCGATAATAAACAAATGTGTTTAATAAAAACCAGATGTGTTTATTTACGGGGGTTTGTGTTATATTGGGTCTCAATGAAATAAACCAATGAATACGTCACTATATAAAGCCTGCAGGCTTTAGGTGTTCATTTGGAAAACAAAGCTCTTGCACAAATACACTCAGGACGGCCCAGATGCAGGTGACACAGTCTTAAGGAGTCCTTTACTATTTTAAAATGCACAAAATCCTCCTTAAACAGGGAATTAGAGACCAGAGTTTCTGACTGACAAAGTCTGCTAACATGAGGTCTGTGTTCGACTGACGAAGGATCTGAATAACCTGCACTTCCTCACATAGACCCTAAGAAAGGGCGTCATCACACCCTGATTGGCCCAGAGAAGAAATGCACCAAGCTGCTCTCAATTCTTAATTAGCAGTCAGTACACACACCCTGAGCAACAGGTGATCTGAATCACCTTCCAATCAACTCAGGGGAACTGTGACAAAATAAAACAAACTGAAAAAAAGGAGCAGGTACCAGATAATGGGTGACTACTACATATTGTTAAGCTGTTTAGGATTGACATGATAAAGTTTATATTATTGCATGAGCAGCTGTTACATCATGATCCTTATGCAAGGGTCACAATATTTTTTAGATGCCATGTGATTCTTAATTTATACTCGCAATGTCTTTGTAATTCTAATTCTAATAAACTATTGCAGATACACAAACTCTTTAAGTATTTCATTAAAAATGCATCTTTTTTTCTGCCCTGCATAATACAAATGACAAATACATAAAAGTAACTAAATTTGTAATAAAAATACATTTAATATACTGCCCATATTTGCAGATGAGAGGAAGGTTTCCACAGTTTTTCCTCACTGTGATGTCACATGTTAGTTGTTATGTTAATAACCTTGTTTAAAAATGAGAGGCCAGTGTTATTTCACATCAGTGTCTGGGTTAGTAAACAGATATGAAGCGCATAATTAACAGTGGATGTCTCTGTCTTTCTTTCTCTGCGTCTCTAGCGCCACCATCAGCCCTGGCCAGGTCCAGACCGTACCAAGGTGTTCGAGTCAGAGACCCGGTCAAAGAGCTGCTGAGGAGAAAGAGGAGTCTGGAGCCACACAGCACCAAGGCAGCGCCCCCTACTGCAGTGAGTCCACCAAGACACATGACACATGACAATAACATTTACATTTACATGATGCTTTTTAGTATGTAAGTATATGTGCTGTGTTCTTGTGATCTGTGTCTTTTTTTGTCATTATTGCCCCTGCTGCTGAGGACATTTTAAATTTCCCCCCTGGGGATTAAATAAAGTATATCTATCTATCTATCTATCTATCTATCTATCTATCTATCTATCTATCTATCTATCTTTATCCTGCTCTTTTTTTAAACTCAGTTGCGAGATAAATGAGGTGTACAGTGAAGTAAAATAATGATCAACATCCTTAATTCTTCGGCAACATTTACATAGAAATACATTTAAACAAATCATGTCTGATTTTGGGAACATGTCGGCCCTCCCTTTCCAGAGAAAATCCCTTCCCAAAAAGCCCTGCACATACTGGCACCACATGTTTTCCTGCAGCTTTATCACAGCATCATTAGTCATTAAACAAATAAGTGCAGGAGGAGCAGCAGTTGCAGTATGGAGCAATGATTGCTCAGGATTATGAGCTGTCGGACTAATCCAACATTTCAGACATGTGCTTTGTGAGATTTTCAGACACTGGAAATATGAAAATTTAGAGGATGGGAAATAAAAAGAGTCGGGATTACCTTTACATTTATTTGTCTGAGAAACAAAAGCACAAACAGCTCTTGTCAGGGGGCTCGGACAGTAACAGTGAGGTGTTTCACTCAAGCTCATGAACTTTTGTTGCAATAGTTTTCATGACACATGACATCTTTTTTTCTGGGATCAATTCTAAACACCACATTGCATTTCTAATAAGGCCTTCTGATGATATATTACCATTAGTCTCCAGGCTAGAATTTTTCTCTCAACAGAGCTGTCATGTACATGAATGGTGTCAATAATCTTTATGCTATCTGCAGCAAAGACACCGCTGCAGAGATCAAAGAAAAGCAGCTGAACATCCAGATGCATAAAGCTGGCTGTAAAAGTGGACCTTGCCAAGCAGCAGCTCTAGATTGTTCTGAGGGGAGTAACTTTTCCAACTGGCAAATTATTGAACAAATTATAGATGGCATGTTCAAGAGCTGAGAGGAAGGGCCCTGTTGGGGCCATCAGGATGTGAGCAGTCAGGTCCCAGGGCCTATCCCAGAGCAAGGGGGGGTTGTCCTTATATAATCCAGGTGTTTTTCCATGACAGTTACAGCCATTCCCTGTATGGCTCCAGGGCTGGGCACACAGCCCTATGCAAAATTACTTGCAGCCTTGCCAAAGAGCCCTCCCACTTGCTATTTATTACGCCTGCTGCACATGCACACAAACACACACGCACATATGTGCAGACTCCCCTCACACACACCCACTGATAAGAGAGAGAAAAACATGACGCAGCCCTCGGTTACTAGTGGAGTTGTAAGTTATCTTCTGATGAACTGGGAAATGTAATTGATAATGCTCATCTTTCACTGTGACAGCATTTCTACTTTCTGTGGAAAGTAGAAACCTGCTTTTGAAACTCACACTGGAGATCGTTCAAGAGCTCTTTAACCTCAGCTCGCTCCTGTGTTTGTGAACAAATTGTCTCTGTGTACTTTTGACCTTTGAGTTTAAGTTTGTTTTTCACTCAGTGGCGGTCCGAGCACATTTGGTGCCCGAGGCAATTTTTATTTTATTTTATTTTATTTCTCTCCACATACACTGCTCTCAGTAGTGGTAGAAGAGTGGGCACCAGAGAGCATTTGTCATTTTTGACATGAAGATACAGCGTGTTTCAGGGTTCAGAGAAAGCGGGATTTATACTTGCGCGTCAGCTCTATGCAGACCCTACGCTGCAGCCTACACATGTGGTATACACTGTTGTGAGCATTCATACTTGTGCAGTGGTGTGTCTGTGTCACTCTGCAGTTACACCTCTAAAACACTAGTTGGCGGTGGGGTTTCTGTGAAGTGCTATAAAGTTTAGTTGACTCAAAACACACATTAAACACACATTAAACATGGCTTAATAGAGACAATTTCAAACACAAGTACACAAATCAGCTTCACTATAACTCGCAGCATTCACAGACAAACACTTGTCTTTATCTGGACACATTTTCCCCACAAATACAACATGCTAACGTTATTAGCACAAGCCTATGGCATTTTACATTGTATAAATTAGCCTAGCGACGAGCAGAGATTTCCTCTGCTCATATTTCAGCCAGGATAAATCACACACAAGACTTATAAACCCACTATGTTGGTACAACACCGATAATTGACAGTTTTTTACCTTCAACAACAAACGCACATTGTTTGGTTTAGCCAGCACATGCACATGGTTGGGGTTGGGCAACAAAAGCATGTGGTTGCGTTAAGGAAAGTGGAACAAGGTTTGGTTTTTACAATCTGGGAAGTGAACACCAGCCTCCAGGTGAAAGTTGGTGGTTGTAGGATCCATCCACCACCCCTCCCACCTGCCTTACTCAGACTTCCGGCCCCTTAACTTATGTTGTTGTCCCTCCGCATTTCCCCCTGACGTCACAGGAAGCCTTTAAACAATAACAGTGACTGGCTGCGTATCATGCTGACATAAAGGGACGTTTTTTTTGTTGGTGTCTGACGCTGAAAGTCACTGACCAAGCTGTGGTTTTCAATGATTTTAGAGACGATGTCTATCTCCTAGACTGAAACTGGAAGATGGTTTCACACAAGAGGAGCCTGATAGCTGAAGTCTTCGGCTCCTGTTCTACTTTTAGTGACTCTAGGAACCACAGGTAACCCTGCATTCTGGGAGCACAGTCATCTGGATGGATAATAGGGTACTACAGTATGAGCTTTGTAAAATATGACAGAGCCTGACTATGTAGAGCTTAGTAAGTGAGGAGAAGGATGTTGCAAGAAGCCAGTGCAGAGAAGCTGAAACAGGAGGAATATGACGTCTTTTTTTAGTTCCTGTCAGTACATGTGCCGCAGCATTCTGGATCAGCTGGAAAGTCTTTAGAGACCTGTTGGAGCAACCTGGTGATAAAGAATTGCGATAATCCAGCCTGGAAGTAACCAATGCTTGGACTAATTTTTCTGCAACTGTTGTCTTTTCCTGGATTTAAAGGCTGCATTATTGTAAAGTGATGTATATCCTGAATTTACCAGACTGTTCTAGCTGTTCTATTTTTTACCTTTACCCACTTAATCATTATATCCACATGACTGATGATAATTTATCAAAAATCTCATCAATATTGATGATCAAAAACACTGTCATATTTGATTTTTCACAGATTTAAAAAACAAAACCTAATGTGTGACAAGTTAAAGGCGTACTATGCCGGATTTGCCCCTCACAGTTTCTAAACAGCGCATTCAGACTTGGCCCCTCCTCCTTGGCTCAATGAAACTAAAAAGAGCAGCGTTGGTCAAGCCGAGAGAAATATAACAATATTTATAATTGTGTCATGGCAATTACGTTCAAAAGCACAAATAAACACACCCACACCTCCGCACAGGCCGGCAGGAAGGCGCCGTATTGCTCATTTTTGTGTGAATTCAGCTAAAGCGCATGTTTCATCCTGTCCGTTCGGCTTCTTTGTTCTGTCTCTGTGTGTGCATGTGGCTCAACCTCACCCTCCATCAAACCGTCACACAGACATGCAGCTGCCATCCACAGAGCAGAGGACAGAGACGGCCGGTCACTACACTTTTAAGTCCCCTGACTTTGTGCTGCTATTGGCAGGAGGCTACACACCACTACCCAAATGATGACACCCAGAAACATCCCAAACAAACCAAAATAAGAAGAAAATACAGACAGAGGACAGGTGCTGATAAGTGATGATTGAGAGGGATTACTTTTGTGTGAGTCTGTATGTTGCTTTTAAAGAAAATCCTGCACAGTGCCTTTGATTACTGAGCTTTAGAAATGCTGGTAAGCACATTTTTTATCTTTAGACAGAGTCCTCTGTTTCAGCTAACAGCCAGCTTCATATTTACCTGACAGTGAATCACTGTTCTTTATTGGCAAGAAAGCAAATAAAGATGTTCCCAAAAATGTTGACCTGTTTCTTTAAAAACAATTTAAAGAAACATGATGTAGGTAATTTGATTCATTCATTCATTAAAATGCCAGCAGGGCATTTCCATATTAGGAAACTAAAATTACGGCCCGTGGTTGTGTGCCTCTGTGCACCAGTCAACTGTCCATGTCTGTGAAAACATGGACGCTTCACACACATCTTCCCCTCGGCAGCACAGAAGACAGAGGGACAGTTGGACGGAGGGATGGGGGGATGGAGGGATGGAGGGACGGACAACCCAAAAACATAATACCTCTGACTACGGCTGTTGCCAGCGCAGAGGCATGAGAGTAGCTCGCAGCATGTTTTTTACAGTGAGAAACTGGGACACTAAATCCCACTGTGAAAAGTTGTGGATGGTACCAATGGAAGCGTTCCTTAGCGTCCCCATGTTTGGTCCCCTCTCTGTTGGGGTACCTAGCACACAGATCTGGTACTAAAAGGTGGAGCTGTGAACACTGCAGTCTGATTGGTCAGTAGAGGACGGTCACTCTGCTCAGGGCTGAGTTGTGTCTGGTTTTGAGGCTCATGTAACCACTGTTCATACTGTGGAGAGTTTTATTAGTAAACTGTAACTATAAAATGAAAGGATGTTTTGCTGCCTCTCACAGCAGCCTCGTTCTGTGGACGATAAACGAGGTGCAGACTTGTCACCACTGATGAGGAAAAACAGAGAGTGCTGGACGGAGCAGTGAGTGGCCTAATTTGGAAAAATATTACTAAAGAATGTTTTAAATGTAATTTCTCATCACTATGAGCACCGCAGACACAAATCCATTCACTGCTGTTGTATCAAAGTGAAGGCAGAGTTTTCTCAACAGCAGGACAAATGGTCTCCCTGGCTGTATCACTGTTTGGGGTGAACTGTCCCTTTAATGTCTGACAGTTTCCCACTTTAAATCAGAGGGCAGGTCATTTATATGCAGATTTGCTGAGCCAGATTTAAACAGCAGCAGGGTGACATAATGCGCACTGGATTATTGTTTAGACACAGAGCTTTGGTTTGAGATCCTTGTGTTTGCCACAGTGCTTTGTTGGAGTGCTCTCAGTTTACAGTTAAACACACCCAGTCAGCACGAACATTATCACAAATGGTATTAGGTTAATTGACGTTATTAAAACTGAACCTACCCTCGGCCCTGAAGCAATCCACTGTCTCTTTAAAAAAAAAGGTTGTTTACTTTCAGCTTTTTAATATTTCTTGGTTCATCTCTCAGAGTCCTGTGACCCTCAGCACTTGAGTAAAATTGACATCAGAGGAGTTTAGTTTTTGGCGTAATGACAGAGTGCTGTAATTCTCCGCCTGCTGTCAAAGCCGTAACACTAACCAGCTCCTCAGAACCTCTGCGGTTGTTCAGGCATCTGACAGCACATGCCCTGCTGCCTCTGAACATGCCCTGCTGGCTGTCTGCAGGCAGGTGGATGCACAATTTCACTGCTGCTGGCGTCAAGCGGCACCTAAATACTGACACTAGCTGTCAGTCAGCACCGTCACTGCTGCCGGCTCTATTGTTCTTTTCACTGATGTCTCACTACAGATTCTTCACTGTTCTGCTGCTTGCCACGCACTCACCCTTGTAGGGACCATGCAGAGCACATACACTCCTTCATAGGTGCATACAGATGTCTTTCAAGAATATACACACATGGTTCTGCACAATAGAAATCTGGGTGTGCAAATGCAACACATAGAGAGGTAACATAGGAAGCAGGGAGACTGACAAAATGTCCATTGGTAATTTAGTTTTGTCTTCAGCTTCACTAATGTGTGGAGTGCCACAGGGATCTATTCTTGGTCCTACTTTGTTTTTATTATCGGTCATTTTAATGGGGTGTCCTACCACTGCTACGCTGATGACACCCAAATCTACCTGTCATTTAAGTCGGATAATGTTTGCTGTCTGAACACTTTAATGGAGTGCTTCACTACTATTAAAAATAGATGACTTGTAATATTCTGCAGCTGAACTCAGACAAGACAGGAGTAATAATCTTTGGCCCGGATCACTTAGCAAAGAAATTACAACTGTTTATTGGTCGTCTGGCAACTTCTATAAAATCTACGCTCAGAAATGTAGGCATCACTTTTGATTCTCAAGTGTTTTTTGAACCACATGTCAATAATCTCATTAAATCCTGCTATGAAATATTATCAATATTAAATCAGCTGTGTCTTTTGCTGACCTCAAAAAGCTTATTCATGCCTTCTCATGCCTTGACTACTGTAAGACACTGTTTACATGCCTCAGTAAATTTTCAGTAGCTCGGCTTCAACCAGCGCAGAATGCTGCAGCACGTATTTTAACTGGGACAAATCATAGGTCACATATCACCCCGATTCTCGCCTCACTTCATTAGTTGCCACTAAACGTCAACTTTTAAAGCTCAACATAGTTTAGCTCCAGTTATATAGCTGATCTTCTGACGACCTGTGCTCCAAGTCCTGACCTGAGATCTTCAAGCCTGCCCTCACTTGTGATCCCTCGACCAAGGCTGGTAACTAAAGGTGACCAGGCTTTTGCCATTGAGGCCACTATAAGCAATGGAATTCTCTGCCTGAGGAGATCAGGCTGGTGAGCGCATTACCCGTTCTTACATTATTGCTCAAATTATATTTTTATATCAAAGCTTTTCATTTTAATGCCTGATTTGTACTTATGTGTTTTATTTCCTTTTGCTCTCTTTTTGCCTCTGTACACACTATTTTTCTTAGCTCTAAACATTTTTTCAAGCCTTACTTGGCTTATTTGAGCTCTCTGCTGGACACTGTGCCCCTCATACCCCTTTCCCACCAAATTAGCTCTGGTTCTTGAACCAGTTACATTCAAGATTCTGGAAACATTGGTGCTATCTAGTGAACCAGCCCACGTTTTCACCTGTTTTGTGCAGAACCTCTGTAATCAAGGAATGAGTCATCAACGGAAGGCATTGCACAATGCACTGTTGAGTTCTCATTTTACTTCTCTACTATTGACTTCTCTATCTCTTATATATCTAGCTGATGTCATCACAGTTCACACTGCAGGTCAAGAAAAATCCGCAATTTATATTCATTTTGGTTGAAAGGGTCTGAACAGTTCGAAATTAGGTGCAAAATGTGTGTCAGTGTGCCGGTCATAAATGATAGTCCCGCCTAAAACATGATTCCTTAAAAGTACCCTCCTATCTATTTTTTCTTTTAGCTTGTGTTTGTTGTTCAGCGCACTTTTTTTTTTCTGGATAAATGGTTAAATGTCCAGATATTTCCAGTACAGCTAAGATTTATCAGATCTCTATCCATTCGTGTAAAACACTGGTTCTGAAAGTTTTTGGATCTTAAGAAAATAATAACCCCACCCTCTCTCACTGACAGCAACAGACTGTTCAGGTGTAAGACAAGCATGTCTGTTGTGCCTTCAGGGAATATGATATCCACTTACGCAATCTGATCAATTATTAAATTGCAGCTTGGAAGTTTCCAGTTAATTGCTGTGTGTGATAGACTCTCAGCCATTGTGTGTTTTTTTCTCGTTGGGATCTGACGTAGGTTATAATCTTGTGGATCACAGATATGTAATTAGGAAAAAACATTTCCAATGAGAAACGTAAATATATGCTGATGCAATGATATATACAATATGCCAATAAATAGGTTGGCAGTTACAGAACCAGCCCTGCCCCAGTGGAAGACAGAATTACATACTCTAACTTATATTTTATCTATTTGGCAGAGCTTTAAAAACAATTTCTGGCCCAGGCAGGCAAAATGACCTGGCCCAGCATTGGCCCAAACTTGGCATGCTGGAAGAAATAAGTTGGGCCGCATCCTGCTGCCTTAGTTGGTTGAGACTTGGGATGAACAACACCCCAGAATTGAGGCAGATAAACTGGCCTGAATCTGCCTGCTGATACTGCCATCACTGGGCTGTAGACAAAAATGACCTGACCCAGTATTGACCCAAACTCAGCATGCTGGAGGAAGTAAGTCTGGCCATTGACTAGGTCAGCTAAGACTTGATGAATGATGCCATAGAATTGGGCCAAATAAGCTGGCCCTATACCAGCTGCCAACATTGCCATCACTGGCCCAGTATTGACCCAAACTCGGCACGCCAGAAGAAATAAGTTGGGCCGTGTTTGGTTGCCAGAATTGGCTAAGATGTGGCATGAATGACACCCCAGAATTGAGGCAGACAACTGGCTTGAATCCGCCTGCTGACACTGCCATCACTCAAAAATGACCTGGCTCAGTATCGACCCAAACTTGGCACGCTGAATGAAAAAAGGTGGGCCGAATCCTGTTGCCAATCTCAGCTGAGACCCAGGATGACTGATGCCCCAATATTGGACCAAATAAACCGGCCTGATTCTGGCCGTCAACACTACCATCACTGGACCATTGTCAAAAATGACCTGACTCAGCACGCTGCAGACGTAGGTTGGACCGTGTTTGGTCGCCTGACTCAGCAAAGACTTGACATGATTGACGCCCCATAATCGAGCCAGATAAACTGGCCTTAATCTGCCTGCTGACACTGGGCTGTAGTCAAATTGACCTGGCCCAATACTGACCCAAACTCAACATGCTGGAAGAAGTCATGGCCATGTTCGGTTGCCTGAGTCGGCGGGATGAATGACACCCCAGAATTGGGGTGCCGCTACCACCTTAGTTAGACATGAATCAGTTAATAAAGATTATTTTGCACGCGACAACCGTTCAAGACTGTACCTGTGTGTGAATACACTGACAAAACACACTTTAATTATAATCTCAACTCAGCTGCTGCTCACACCTGGACTCGATCTGTACAAGTATAAATACTGCATATTTATATATCAACATTACACTATAGCCTATTCTACAGCAGCAACGTGTGCTTGTGGTTCTACTGCAAATTACTGATGTGCTAAATTCACTTTTCTTTTAGGATTTGGTCACAAGCAACAACCAGTCATCATACACACAAGGTAATTGTTCATTCAGATGCATCTGAGAGTTACATGACGTATTTATTAAACTGATTTCTGGAAGTAGAGCGTGTGTCTCTGCCTGTCTCTGAAGACTTATGCTCGAAACTCCTCTTTCAAAATCAGGCATGTTTGGCTCTGACGTTGCCAGCGGCTCCCCAGCTGAGCCGCCGACTGCAGTCGCTGATGGAGGGCTGCAGTGTGCAGGATGGAGAGCTGCACCACCTGTCAGCAGCGCCTGCCTGCAGCCTGCTGTAACATCCTGGTCGTCATCTGAGTACAACCAGCAGGACCCTTCAGCTCAGACTCTGGCCTACCCAGCAACCCCCACCCTCACTGCAGATGTGTACATGCAGACTCTGTGTCCCAGCTACACCATGCTGACCTACACACACACACCATTGCTCACTAACTTTGGGGTGAGTAGGAGAAAAGTCTGCATGTGATAATTTATTTATTTATTTCTTCCCATTGTGAGCCCAGCAGTGTTACAGGAGTAGTCTCTGCTTTGCTGGTTTGATTGTGTGGAGCAGAGAGAAGCTGTTAATGATCATGGGTTGATTCCAAAGGACACACCTGGCAGCTGCTGAGCTGGACTGAGGCCCCAGTTCCTCTCTGCTCCACTCTGTCAGCCTCCTGATGCAGGTGCAGTCTGGCACTAAGAGACAAAACAATCCTGCTGCCTCAAAGAGCCACATCACATCAAATACAGCCGACTACCTGCAATTATTTATTTGCGTCTGAGATTTAAAAGTCATTTATCTGTCATGAGAGAGATTCTATGCCACGTATTCATCAGTGAGTGAAGTGAATGGAACACCAACATTGTATGAAACATGCTAAGGACACAGATGGACAGTGAAGAAGGGGTTATGACAGGGGTGTAAATATAGACAGTGTCGGCAATGCAGTTGCACTGGGGCCCGTAGAGAGTGCGGGCCGTTGCAAGTGTTTTAGACTGCCACCTTGGAAATATACCTGTGTTTAAAGATAAATGATAAAAAAAAGAATATTAATTTAAAAACGGTGCCATTTGCTATGTATCCTGAAGAAGGCAAACCCATCTGTATCATGGTTTTCTTTTTCTTTTATTTACATAGTCAGTCGCTATCTAAAACAAAATTATATGCTTTTTCTATATACGTATAAAATCTATGAATATACTGTAAAAACTATTTAATTAAATCATTAATTTCTCACTTTCTACAATACAATACATGCACGATAGTGTGCACTTTGACTGGCACGTTGACATGTAACATAACCGTTAAAAGCAAACATGCTAACATTAGCTAACTGGTAATGTTAACATCCCTGTTAGCTGCGGCTGTCATGAGGTCAGAGGCTGGCGACTCTGTGACGTTTGTCAGTGCAGCCAGTTTCATGTTCATTGCGCTCATTGTAACGCCAACAGGATGTGTTTCTTGACATGCAAAAAAAACATCTTCACCTCCTGAGACCCCGTGTCCTTGTATGAGGACATAGTATTTTGGGTTTACTTGACAGTATACTTCATTCTGCTTAACTTGGACCTGTTGTCCTCGTTCGTGGACACTTTTTGTGCCATCTAGTGGTAGTAAGAGCACAATACACTAATCCATGTAAAACAAGATGGCAGCCATCTCTGCCAAGTCAGTCTGCAGCCATTTATTTATGATTCTTAATGTTAGTTGTTTGATATGGCGACAAATTTGACCAATTTCAGCAACAGTAACAAGACACAGTTAATTAGGAAGTACTCTTTCGAGGACATTGAGACTTTATTATTGTTGACAAATGTTAGTTTTTTATACTTATCGGGTCCTACTGATCCTAAATAGCTAGGAGAGGTTAAAACTGCATACAGAACACAAGTTCGGGTCTGAGGAGGTTAAAAATACATTTTCAAAAAATCCAAGATGCTTTAGTCCAGGCGAGGGTTATACTTTGGCCGCCTGATTTGCAGCTGAGGTGCTTCTTGCGTGCTCTTACCCCTACACACTGGTTGTAACAAAGGCATAAATGGCAAATGCAGTGAAGTGAAAAGTAGATTGCTGGCTCAAAAATATACTAGAGTAAAGAGTAGAAGTACAGTATTGAAAAAGGAGCACAAAAAATACCCTTGCAGTGGGGTGGTTAGAGGGTTAGACCAGGATGATCGGTTGATCAGTTCCTGTCAGATCACTTCTTTGAGGCCCATTAATCAACACTGCATGGACTGGTACAGGATTGCAGCCTGGTACTGACCTTAATAATCTGATTGCTAAAGCTTGTTAAGCAGTGGTGCCCCCAGAAATGCTTAATGTGGGTGGGCAGATGGGGCCTCTGAAAGTCTTGAGGGGAGAGTTAAGAGACCCCTTTAAAAATGACCATTACAGTATTTCCCTTGCCAAAATAAAGCCTAAATTTATTTGTGTTATTTAGCCCCCTTTTCTGACAAGCTAAGTCAACATAGTTGGTTCCAGTGGATGCCTTAGTTTGTTTATTTATACATGATACCATTATGATTTTGCTAGCTTATAGAATGAGACTCTTACAGACTCTCAGAGTAATGTTGTTAGCATTCTGTGGCCTTTGTGTTAAAGAGGGCACTTGGTTGACCAAAGAAAGATCAAGACCAAATTTCTCTAGTTGCTCAATCTTTCAAACATTTCAGTTCTATTTCTTGTTGTTTCAGACCATACCTGTGGCCTCCGCACCCGGCTCCCTCCCTCAAATGGATCTCCCAGACTCAGGGTTGACCTACCTCCCCTGGGCCCAGCCCATCACCACCATATCTACCATGCCGAACCCGGGGGTCCAGTTTGCCCCTGGCTCTGCAGCCCTCCCAACTTCACCTCTGGTCCACATGCCCCTGTCCATGTCTTTGACCACCATGATTCCTCAGCTGGATGCTCAGGGTGTAGATCATCCTCATCCACACATACTGGACCTCCCGCAGCGTTCAGAACACCAGCTGGACCCTGAGCCACAGGGCCAGTCTCTGGATGAAGATCCAGGAATAGAGTCGGACTCACCGAACCTCCTGGATAAACTTCTGGAGGATCAAAAGGGTGACGGCGGAGAGGAGGGCAAAGACTCGTACAGCAGCTCACTCTTTATTCCGAGTGTCTAAAAATATGAGTGTTCGTGTGTTTGTAGAGAGCAGCTTTTCTTTCTGTTTGCTTCTGAGGAGCCGTCATTAAAGGATCATTTGGGTTTATTACAACTTTAGGCTTCATTTTGTAGCTGTGGCTATAATTTACATTTACTATGACAGCACTATACTCACTGGAGTAACTGTAGAGATTGTTGCTGAAAAAAATTCTTGGAGAAATTATGCAAGTCTCACCAAATCCTACAGGCCCCTCAAGCCCCAAGATTGTCTGTTTGACTATTACTTTGTAAAAATTAGTTTATGCACCACTAAAGCCAAATGAAAGGGGAAAACTCAGATTGTGTCAAACTAATGAAGCCTTTTGGTGTTGTAAGACTGTTTTTAAATACGTGTGTAAGATATGAATGCTTTTCTTAAAGTATGATTGATTTATTTTCATGTTAGAGGCTTTGTGCAGCAAAATCTGTCACTGAAAAACAGTAAAAACATGCTACTGTCCCAGTCAGCAGGAGTTTTCTCAGACAGTTGCAGTTTCTTTAGACACAGTGAAGTGCCGTCCATCTCCTCGTAGCCTTGAGGCGTTTGTACGAGCCATAAAATCTGTCATTAATGCTGTCAGTTAACAGGAGCCTGGAGGATTGTCACGTGTCCTGCACAGCTGGCTTCCTGTTTTTCTAGCTGATGATTTGTATCAAACCAGATGAAGAACTGGGGTCACGCAACTTAATGATAGGTTACTAAACTGACTGTGAGTTTCTGTTTGGACCAGCTGAACTGACACTCTTCTTTTTTTCTAACTTTTTTTTAATTGAAGAAACAAAGAACATGAGGTCATCAAATCACAGTACATTTTTGCATACAGTGTCACAACAGTGACATTCATGCACACTCCATTTCTCAATATTTTGCACATTTTTCCAGCTCAAGCCTTAAAATAAAAGTATATTTTCCCTTACAATATTATAACAACTCAATGAAAACTCAAACTCAAATGCAGAGAACACACAGGACGTAGAGAAGGGTTAAAAACTCCACTGCCGACTAGTGTGTTGGAGGTGTAACTGCAGACACAGCACCGCACAAGTAAAAATGTCCACAACGACATAGGCCACATGTGTAGGCTACGGTGTAGGCTAGGGAACTGCCCATTGGTTCGACAGCCCATTGGTTCGACATCCCATTGTTCCGACCATATTAAACTCATTGTTCCGAAGTCCGTTCCGAAATCATCATGATGCCCTAAGGTTAAGGTCTGGTTAGGTTTAGGCACAAAAACCACTTGGTTAGGGTCAGGAAAAGATCATGGTGTGGGTTAAAATGAAAAAGAAAGTGACAAACACATAAGCTGTGAGCCTGCTCCGCCTCAAGCCGGTCGCGGCGCAGCATACGCCCGCCGCGAGCCGTTCAGCACCGCGGACAGTCGGACTAATGGGATGTCGAACCAATGGGCTGTCGAACCAGTGACATGGACCCGTAGGCTATGCATTGAGTGTCTGTGAAGTGTTGTAAAGTTGAGTTGATTCAAAACACACATTAAACACACATTAAACATGGCTTAATAGAGACAATTTCAAACACAAGTACACAAATCAGCTTCACTATAACTCGCAGCATTCACAGACAAACACTTGTCTTTATCTGGACACATTTTCCCCACAAATACAACATGCTAACATTATTAGCACAAGCCTATGGCATTTTACATTGTATAAATTAGCCTAGCAGCACGTTAAGTCAATGTAAGGTAATGCACAAGTATAAATCCGCCTCAAGGCCCGTGTGCCTGCCCTTTCTCCAGCTTCCTACACTCCCTCCCTCTCTCTCTGTCCTCTGAGTCCACAAGAGTCAACATTAGAGATTAGTCGGTAAACTGTTGAATGCTGTTCATATTTGTTCATATTTGAACAACACGTGTCGACATGATTACATAATGGATCGCTGCAGGTGAAGCTTTATGTTGATCCTTTATTATTTACCTTTATGCCTCCGTCTTTTGCCTGATATCACGTTGAACATGCCATAAGGAGCAGCATTTGGTTAATGGAAGAAACTTCCATAAAAACACAACCACAGAATCAGCTACTCATCTTCACCTTTTTGGCTTTGCCTCTTACAGTAAGTGCTTTTCTTAAGACAGGATGGATGTCCTTGTTCCTGTTCATGGTTATTGCTATGATGTCAAATCCAGGTCAAACGGCCAAAGCATGAATACTGGGATTCATGGCTATACTGCATATTGGTCTTGCTGAGACTGCAAATTTCTGTCTGATTACCAGCTGTAAATTTACTTCTATTAGTAGAGTGTACATAAATAAGGTCACAGATTATGTAACCTATGCTTCGCAGTCTTAACAAAACTAGTATCCAGTCCATTCACGACCTGAACAAAAGGTGATTCTTTGGAGCGTCAGTGTGTTAAATGTATTGGAAATTAATGTTGATTTGTGCTAAATATTTTGCACACTGTCAGAGTATTAAAAGTCAAAATCAGTGTTTTTATATTGGGGGTGTTTGTATTGTGATTACGCCCCAGCAGCATTATGACATGGAGTTGAGATAATGTTTGAAAACAGACCATTGATGTGGTTTTGCTGTTTGGGTCCTGTAAGAATATATTAGAATGAATGCCAGAGGCACAAAGTGAAAAGTGTTTTCTTTAATAAAGAAAAACAACCTGAGAAGTTCAGCCAGAGGGTGTCATTGAAGTCTGTAAACTGACTCCAAACTTCACTCCATCAGGCAAGACCTTTATGTCAAATGATGAAATGACACCCCAGATTGATCCTGCACCACCATGAATTTTAAACAGTGTTTATTGCTGCTTGTCAGTGCTGTTCATGTCTACAGATTACACTCTAGGTATTCTAAAAGCATTGTGTCTTTTCTCAATACACTTTTTTCACAGGAAATACACAGTTTCTGCTTGTTATGCGCATACAGTCCTTTTCAAAATAAACTTACAATGTCAGTAAAACACCTTTTATTTATGTTTATTTCTTTGTGCAACACAAACCAACACATTCTCACTCCGACCTCGTCACATATCGACGTTTGGTCATGAACTTTCCACGTTGAGATAAGACGCGCAAGGTACCCTGGGTGTGTTGGTTGTGCATGTTCTGGGACAACGTGTCAAGTTCAGCCTGTTACATGCATTGTCTTCTTTCAAAAAACACTTCTGTTTTCACAGGAAATATAAATACTACATACAGTCTTTTTCAAAATAAAAGCACTACGTCGATAAAACATCGCAAATTGACTTTTTTTCCCTTCAACAAATGCATATGATAAAGTTTAGCCAATACACGCATGTGGTTGAGTTTAGGCAACAAAGGCACAGGGTTTGGCTTTACAATCTTACAGGGAGCGAACACCAACCTCCTGAGTAAAAGTTGGTGGTTGTTAGACCAATCCACCGCCCATCCTGCCTTCCCTATTTGGACTTTCACCATCTTAACTTTCATTTTCATTGACATGAAAAGACGGCTTTTTTTCATCAGCATCGGACGCTAGAAGTCACTGACCAAGTGCCAGATTTGGACGACTTCAAAGTGAGACTGGGTTGCGCAAGCATGTGAAAAAAACATCATGGTTTGGCTCGACATTCACATAGAAAGTGAACACCTGGCTGTCAGGTAAAAGTCTTGGATTTGTTACCAACCACCACCCCTACCATACCACTGTAGGGATTTTCCAGCTCCTTATATTGCGATGTTTCTGGTAGCATTTTGAACTGACGCTGTCCAGCGCCATATCATGCCGCTGCAACAGGTGCCATCCGGCCAACTAGCAGCGTGTCATAACACCCTGAAAGGTTCTGTCTGGTCACGATTGCTCTCTGTATCAGTCTGGACTCGCTGCCACTCAAAACTTTTTCCAGAAATTAAAATCATACTGGGGCCAATCAGGTATCCGCACCGTGGACGACAATGCACGCAGACCATAGACATATATACATAGACGCCGCATTGACTGCCGCTGCCTATTGGAGCCGACGTCCTCGCCGGCCGCCATCTTGGATGGGTCTCGCTTCGCCTCCACAGTGCATTCACTTCTATTGAGGAAGGAGCTGTATGCACAAGTAAAATAGAATAACTCACTGAATTTTCAACTGATTTTCA